TATATATATATATATATATATATATATATATATATATATATAGTCAATAAATTTAGATTCGAGTTTTAAAAATGACGATAGGAAAAAAATATTCATATGTTATGTCCTATATATATATATATATATATATATATATATATATATATATATTTCATATATACGGTATGATCAGTTACTATAGTTGTTGTTACCATAGCAACTGTAGAATCAACACAACAGATCAAATACTATTATAGTTGTTATGTTAGCAATTGTCGAATCCCCACAACAGATCAATTACTGTAATTTGTTACCATAGCAATTGTAGAATCACCACAACAAATTGTTTACTGTAGTAGTTGCTTTACCATAGCAACTGTAAAATCACCACCACAGATCAATTAACGTAGCAGTGTTGCCGTAGCAACTGTAGAAACACCACAACATATCTTTTACTGTTGTAGCTGCGTTACCAAACCAACTGTAAAGTCACCACAACAGATCAATTGCTATAGTTGTGTTACCATAGCAACTTTTGAATCACCACAACTGATTAATTACTGTAATTTGTTACCATAGCAACTGTAGAATCACAACAGATTGTTTACTGTAGTTATCATAGCAACTGTAAAATCCTTGCAACAGATCAAATAATGTAGTATGTTACTATAGCAACTGTAGAATCACCACAACAGATTTTGCGTTACCATAGCAACTGTAAAATCCTTGCAACAGATCAAATAATGTAGTATGTTACTATAGCAACTGTAGAATCACCACAACAGATTTTGCGTTACCATAGCAACTGTAAAATCCTTGCAACAGATCAAATAATGTAGTATGTTACTATAGCAACTGTAGAATCACCACAACAGATTTTGCGTTACCATAGCAACTGTAAAATCACCACCACAGATCAATTAATATAGCAGTGTTACCATAGCAACTATAGAATCCCAGCAACAGATCGATTGCCATAATTGTTGTGTTACCATGGCAATTATAGAATCACCACTACAGATCAATTGCTATATTAGCTGCGTAACCATAGCAACTGTAGAATCACCACAAGATTAATTGAATGCTATAGTTCTAAAACACTACTGCGTTTTTTTTTATAGCGTAATTAATTAATTCATTAATATATTAGTCTTTTTTCATGTGGGGTGTGTGTTTTTATCTCAGTAATCTCTCAATATGTTAATGAATCAGGGGTGTTAAATGCTTCATCATTGCTGTTCTTGTCAAATGTTATTTTGTTTGTTACATAAGCGGTGTTGTGATCTGTCAGACGGGTTAAACAGCATTTCTACATGATAAATGTGTGTGTGTTCATTCACCTTCAGTTTCTCCACCCAGAAACACAGCAACACACTGAACTGGAGCGACGGGTTCAGGGCCAGCGAACTTTCAGATAAACACACATCGAGATGCTTTACACACACACTGCAAAACTGCATCTTTCACACATTAAACATCCTGACAGAAGCAGACGCTCCTCTTTACACTCTGTGTAAACAGCACATTCACGAACACTGAAAATACAGCACTTTACACAAACACACACATTCTGAACATTTCAACAGCAGAAGCAGAGGAACACTCAATTCAATGAGCAGTTTGACTGCAGTGAGTATTTTCTGGTGAAATGTCAGCCATATTTTACCTCAAATATATATATTTCATTACATTTTAGATCTAAATAAAAGAAGATTAGATTATTTTCCGACTAAAATGTGAATTAAAAAGTCAATAATTAAGTCAGATTTCATATTTTAACTCATTTTCTGTTTTCCCTTTAATCAGACATGTCATTTTCTCATGTTGGGGTTGTTTCTAATAGTTTCATGCTTGTGAAATATTTTCGAGCCACATTGAATATATAAAAATGCTATTATTGTTATTATTATTATATTTTTTTCTAGGAATGCAAAAAGTGAGAAGAAAGAAAAGTGTGAGATGATTAATGTAAAACATGAGCCGTAACACACACACACACACACACACACACACACACACACACACTTTTATCTTTATTATTGAAATTAAACAATATCTTTAAATCACTATTAACATTTCACTAGTATCCAAGTGAATACAAGAGCTGTTATTGAAATTCCAGTACTCATAATTTAACAAGCATTGTGTGTTCACAGGTTATCATTAAACATAATCAAAATAATGACAGAGTTTTAAATGAAGTCAAGGCGACACGGAGGCTCAGTGTGTGGGTGTTTCCCAGAGATGGGTTGCGTCTGGAAGGGCATCCGCTGCGTAAAAAACGTGCTGGATAAGTTGGCGGTTCATTCCGCTGTGGCGATTCCTGATGAATAAAGGGACTGAGCTGAAGGAAAAGTCAGGAACCCAGTTTAAAGAGACAGTTCACCCCAAAATGAAAATGTATTCACTATTTACTCTCCCTCATGTGGTTATAAACCTTCATAAACATAAAAGAAAAGATTTTCAAGAAAGCTGAAAACTGGTAATCATTAACTTCCATTGTAGGAAAAAAAATACAATGAAAGTCAATGGTTACAGGTTTCCAACATTCTTCAAAATATCTCCCTCAGTGTTTAACAGAAGAAAGAAACTCATAAAAGGTTTGAAACGAGTAAATGACGTGACAGAGTTATAGTTTTTGGGTGAACTGTCCCTTTAAACATGCAAAGTGGTCATATTTTATTCACATAGAGTGGAAGTTGGAATGTTCTTAAATTAAATATTATTATTTCTGTTCTTATCCTGATGAACTTTAGCACAGTTTAAAAGAAACCATTTTTTTTATTT